GTGAGAAAAATGGATTTTACAAAGCAATAATGCAAAGAGGCACATTGAGTAGAAAAAGCATTAAGAGATAATTTCAGAAAGAAGGAAGGTGGCCAATAGCATGGAGTGGGGGAACACAACCTCCTGAGTAACAGAAATGCTCGTTAAAACAAAATACATCTACCTCTCAGATCCAGAAAGGTTTGAAAACATGGCCTTCGCTACAATTTCGGTTTTGTGGGGAAATCTACATACTACTGGCTGATGTGTAAATTAATAGTCTTGCTGGACAGTCTTCTAGTTTTACAAAAGGATTGACTTTTTATCAGCTCTTTGGCCCAGCAGTTTTTCTTTTTGGAATTTATCCCAAGATTGTGCAGAGTTTTAGCTACAAGGATAGTCATTTCAATAATGTTTATAGCAGTAAAAAATTTTGTGATAAGATTATCCAATTTTATGGTATATTAATAAAAGCAGTCTTGTAAAAAAGAATAGTCAAGGTAGCATAATATTCGCACATACTGTTAAATGTGAAAAGCAGTTTGCAAAGCAAGTATGTAAAAAATTGTCTCCGTTTTTTGAAAGGATATATGAATGTACAGAAAAGAAAGGCTGGAGAGATATATACCATAGTGTTGATAATGATTCCCTCTGACAGTGATATTGTGAGTTATTTTCTCCCTTTTACTTGTTTGTGTTATCCAGATTTTTGTCATTAGCTTGTATAACTTTTATAATACGGACGAAAAAAGCATAAAAGTTATTTCTAAAAGAAGAGAGAAGCATCTGGGTTTAATTCTTTACAATCCCCCAGAGTAAGAAGCAGAAGGCCCCACAAAAGAAGCAAAAAAATTCAGGAGCACTGTTCTAGGAAAGATTTAGGAGTTGAACACTGGCCATTCCCACAGATTAGAGAATCCAGGAAGCGATGTGGAACAGCTTATAGATATACACATCCAGAGAGTAAGATTTCTTTTTAAAAATTTCAGGGCCACATATTCTTTTCGCTTCTCTCTGAGACATGACTATATAATCTGGAGGCATCTATAGCTCTCCTGTTGGGGGGGGGCGCTGGTGCTGGGAGTAGGGGGGACAGGCAAATCCTGAACTGGGGTGGGCTGCTAGGGGTAGTAAAGCCCAGTGATGGAGGACACAGCCTGGGTCAATCTGTTGCCGGTATTCAGAGCCTGGCTTGCACATCTTACCATCAGTGCAACCTTGGGTGAGCTGCCAAACCTCTCTGTGCTTCATTTTCATCCTGAGGATAATAATAGGGTTTACCTCATTTGAATCAGGTATGGTAAGACACGCAGACCGTTTTGAAGGAAGAAGTTTATATTCATTGATTCCTAAAAACGGGGCAAATTGTACCATGGGGGACCACATGCAGAAGCACCAGGGTCGGGCAAAGGCAGAGGGAGTGAGGGGAAAACATGGGCAAGAGCCTTTACTGCGACCGCCCCAGGAAGGAATGGTTGAGGCTGAGGAAGCAGGCTAAGCAAGTTTAGGATCAGCTGATTGAATCATATCATCATATCAGCTCACTCTGGGGCATTAGGTGCTGTCTCTAGTTGTCTAGTCCCTGGCGCTGGGGTGATTAGGTCAGGGGGATAGTGCCCCAGATAAGATCCTAAGATCCTATGAGATTTGGGTAAGGAGGTAGTTGGGTTCTGCATTGGCTGGTTTGCATATGAAAAGTGCACTTGTAAGGGATTAATGAGCTCTGGGAAGGATAATTGTGTAAAGTGCAAGCAAAATACTATTTTAAAGGAAATCAGAGGAAACATTCATTCCGATTAGAGAAAGAACTTCCTCTGCCCTTTAACGCCCTTCTAGCTGGGCTAAGAGTCGCACTGGCACCTGACAGATTAACAGGAGAAAATTAAATTTAATTTCATACATATGGGGAATCTACACAGACATGGAAATTCCAAAGACAGGCAAAATGAGGTTCATTCGTCTTCCTGAACTAAAGGAAGGGAGTAGGGGTGTGGGACTTCAAAGGGAAGGAATGCAGTTCACAGGAAGATGATAAGAGTAAATGTTTGGTAAACAAATGTTTGCAGGGGCGGTGGAGGGGGCAGGGGTGGGGGGGACACTCAGGCCGCTCAGAAACAATGGGACACACAGGACTTTGACCAAACAGGCCTTGCTAGGTTCCTCCCTGTCTAGCACACCTGGTTCACATCATAATGGAGTTATCTATGGTGACAGCTCTCTTCCTGGACCAGGTCCTCCATCTAAATATTTTTTAGGCAATTGAAAGGGAGGTAAAGAGCTTTTCCTGAATCTGCTAGGTTTTGATTGCTTTTAACTCAAAAATAATCTTCGTGCTAAAGTGGCGCATGTTGGAGTGGCCTGCACTTGGCCCCTCCAGGAGCATCTGGGAAGTTTCCCTTGAAGAATGGGAGGGGCTGTGACTTACACTATTTGGAGGGAAAGGGAGAGAGAGGAAATGGGAACGCGGCGATATGTAAAACTTACACCAAGTGTAGGCTGATGTGATTGGACAGGTGACATGTGAAGGTCTGGAGCGAGGGCAGGGAGAGAGGGGTAGTTGGACCCGAAGCTGAGAGTGTAGCTATGGGCTATGGTAGCTGCTATGTGAGGCTTCTATTTGGCAGGTGGAATTTGGGCGTTCCTTACACGTGCTGGTGGATCCTTGATGTCTTGGTAGCCTGGGAGTGGCTTGTTCTGGCGCTGCCTGTGCTAATGGGCAACTCTGATAAAGTCCCCAGTTCCCCCTGGTTCTTGACTTTCTCCCTGTAGTAGAATCATAATCCCTGCCTCCCTCACCATGCCCCACGGTTTTAATGAGGTGCAGTGGGGCGTGGGGATGCAAATGTGCAGTGATGGGAGCGAAGCGTTGCCAGGGCACAGGAGGCAAAGGTGCTTCCCCTCAGAGCCACGGGGCTGGCTGTGGTCTGAAGGGGGCCGTTGCCAGAACTCCCATGGCTTTCTGACCTTATTTGTGACTCATGGGATGATGACGAGTGGATCTCCAGGAGGACTTTCCACAGTCCTCAGCTCCTTGTCTCCCTAACACCGGCATCTTCGCCCCGCGCCCACTACAGGGGACTGGGCACTGCCAGGCCCTCCCTGCAGACATGGAACGCATCTCTCCAAGTTAGATCATCCCTCCTGGGCAGCTCTGGGCAGTTACCTGGTCCTTCTTTGATGGTGAGGTGCCATGAACTGAACACAGTCAGCCTAAGCCTCTGTACCTGATGAAAGATTACAGGGTTAGCTCCCACCTGCTGGTCCTGGTTTTGCTTCTGGGGCCCCATGTCCCAAGACTACTTCCTCTCCTGTGAAACATACCTGGGGTCCTCTTAAGCCAGTGTTTCCTCTCTCTGAATTATGGAAGGGCCGAAGCACATGACCTAAGTATTTATCTCTTGCTGTAGTCCTCACTGTAGAATTCTTAGAGGTAGGCTGCACTGGGGTATGGTGACCACAATTGTGAGAATTTTAATTTTTTATGTAGCAAATGCTCCCGCGGTACTTAGTAGGTGCCATCCATTCAATCTCCATAACACTTCTGTGAGCTAGGTAGTAGTTTCCCCATTGTATAGCGAGGACACACAGAGAAGCACAGAGAAGTCAAGTATTTTCCTGAGGGTGCACAGCTAGTAGGTATCAGAATGAGGATTCAAATCCAACTTGTCTGGCCTAGCGTCTGTGCTCCCCACTACCCTGCTGTCCAGTCCTCCCTCACCTGATGACAGGCCGCTCAGCCCCTCTCCTGTTTGCCACAAAGAGCTGTGTGCCTCCCCTCTGTGCTAAGAGCAGACTAGTCTCAGCCCCCGGCATCCCTCAGGGAGAGAAGCCTAGAAAAGGGACGTCGCCAGGACATCTTTGGCATCGGGACTGCTGCCTGAAGCTGCTGCTTGCAGAAGGCACAGCTCAGCTAAGGGCCCTGCGTGAGGGCTGTTGAAGGAGACTTTGGATGGAGGACATCGCACGTGGAAACGCACATGGGAACCCGGAGAGCGCACACAGGGCCCCTTCCACGAAGTACTCTAAAGCTCCGTGCTTCACCAGGTGCTCAGCCCCTGGAGCCACATCACCTTCTCATTCAATAAACATGTCCGTGAACTTGTAAATGTTTACTCTGGAGGAACCAAATTAGAACGAGCTACAATTCCTGCCCTTGAAAAGTTTGTAACCTACCTGGGGTTAGGGAAGTGTCTGGAAAGGTTGAGAAGAATGTCTAGATAATGAGCCCACCTTGGAAGGCGAGAACCACAGAGGCTGCTTCGGTACAGATGTTGCATAAAGGAGGTGGGAACTGGTCCGGGCCCTGGGGAATGAGCAGTACAGAGGTGGGGAGAATGAGGAGAATGTGCTGGATGCCCTCTGTTCGCCCTGACCACTGCTGCCCTCTCTCCCTGTGATCCCCTCGGCCCCAGGAGGCCAACCCCATACAGACTGCACCCACAGGCTCAGCTTCGGGCTGCAGGGTGGGCTTGCCTAATAGGAGACACCAGAAAGAGAGTAGAAGACCAGAAGATAGTGAGGTCAGGTATTTATTCCTCCTGGTCCTGTGGCTGTGGTTTGGCTCTAAGACCCTTTACTGAAGACACAGCTCCAAACAGGTGACCCTCTCAGCTTGGCCATTCTCTCTGGTCCTGTCAACCACTCCCTCCCCAGCCCTTCAAGCTGGAGTGGGAAGTGTCTTTTCCTCTGCTGCCAGCCCGAAGTACTAGGTTATCTGTTGTCCGTTCCTCTGAGCTCTGCTCAGAGCTCATCTCTGAGATGATCTTTTTTAAAACTGTGCTCAAATTAAGTTTGAATGCGCTCTGGTTCCTGCCAGGAAGTCTACTGAAAAACAAAACAAAACAAAACATGTCAGAGATCTGAAAAGTGGATGGGCAGAACAGGTAGGAATTCACGGACCTGTCGGCTGAAGTGCAAGGTGGGAGAAGACGGGGTCGGGGTGCAGAATGTGAACGAAGGAGTGGTGAGCTCGCCGGACGTTCTGTAGATCCCTATAACCTGCATCCCTCCCTGTCTTCCAGGACAGTCCTGCCTGCCGCCCCTCACCGCCCAGCACCCCCTCGGCCAGGGCCTCCAGCCAGAGGACAGGAATGGAAACGTGTGGAGGCTGGCGCCTTGTCGGCTGTCTGGCCGTGCTCTCCCTGCTCCTGTCCCTGAGCCTGGCGCAGTACGAGGGCTGGCCCCACTACCCCGAGTACTTTCAGCAGCCGGCCCCCGAGTACCACCGGCCACAGGTGCCCTCCGACGTCGTCAAGATCCAGCTCCGCCTGGCGGGCCAGAAGAGGAAGCACAGCGAGGGGCGGGTGGAGGTGTACTACAACGGCCAGTGGGGCACCGTGTGTGACGACGACTTCTCCATCCACGCGGCCCACGTCGTCTGCCGGGAGTTGGGATACGTGGAGGCCAAGTCCTGGACGGCCAGCTCCTCCTACGGCAAAGGGGAAGGTAAACGCTCTGTGCTTTGGAGCTGAGTGCTAGCGTCCCTGGAAACCCCAGGAAGAGTCCCTTGCACAGATAACCTGGTACAGTAGGATGCAGTTACCGTCAAGTGTGAATTCCTGGTAATACCCCTGCTGGAAAGCCTCCTACGTCTGTGCAGGAAGGTGGGAGCAGACAGGCTCTGGGAAAGGGCACAGTGACCAACCAGCCTGCTTTGGACTTTCCTGGTTTTCACGCGTGAAACCTGGTATCCAGGAAATGCCTCCTTGTGGCCAAAGCAGAGCGGTTGGTGACCCTAGATAAGGGCTGATGTCAGGCTGTACCCACAGCTCCGTGGGCCCTGCCTGGGGCTGCATCAGCCAGGGAAGGTGATGCCTGTCTCCCAGTCACCAAAGGCTGCCTACAGGCTGGCGTTCCCTGCATCTCCCCACCATGCTGCTCACGTAGCGTTCCCATTGTTAACACTAATATGCTGTTCTGAGAGTGTCCATGATGGGAACAGAGTTGCTTTGGGTGTTTCACTTTGGTTGGCCCACTCTTTCTTCCCTCGTCAAGTGCAAATCAAAATATTTTAGGGGAAAAAAAAGGATGTTTTGGTAAAAAAAAAAAAGCTTTGAGGGAAAGCAGGTGTTGGAGTTCAGAACCCTGAGCTCAGTCCATGGAGGGGGGAGCTAACCCATAATGTTCTCAGCTAAAGTCTGGGCTAGAGTCTAGGACTCTGACATTGGGAAGCCTCCCAACGATTGTATATATAGTCAGGTTTGGTAGTCATTGAAATAGATCATTATTATGGTCCTTTCAGCCCTTGCTTTCTGTTATTCTTGCAATGATCGGAAAAAGGAAACCCATCTCCTGTGTATCTCACCTCCGTGCAATTGAGTATGTTCCGTGGGAGTAGTCAGACCAAGAGACCACAGGTTGAGTGAACTGTTCTCCGAAGCTGACTCTGGGTTCCCTAGCAGTGACAAGATTAAAGCAGCAAAGATGAGGGGCGCCTGGGCGGCTCAGTTGGTTAAGCTTCCGACTTCGGCTCAGGTCACGATCTTGCAGTTTGTGATTTCAAGCCCCGTGTTGGGCTCTGTGCTGACAGCTCAGAGCCTGGAGCCTGCTTCAGATTCTGTGTCTCCCTCTCTCTCTGACCCTCCCCTGCGCTGTCTCTCTCTGACTCTCAAAAATAAATTTAAATTTTTTTAAAAAAATTAAAAAAATAAATAAACATTAAAAACAAAAAATTTAAAGTAGCGAAGAAGAATTGGCAAATGCTGTCTCCTTTTCAAACCTCTGGACATGTCTCCATACTTGTACGTCTCCATGTATTCTGCCGGCTGAGTAATCCAGGGATAACGTCACATTTGTGTTTTCACTCCCAGACTCTCAAACTTAGGTATTTTATAACAAATACTTTCCAATAGTTGTGGGGGCTTTACAGTGACAACTTTATTTTACTTCTACCCAGACTTAAGGTTTACCTGTCATCGGATTAGATGGGTGTGGTTTTTTTTCCCCAGCCCCAGTTGGCCTGCCCAGAAGTGAGCATGGCATGGCCAGGGAGGTGGGTTAACCTGGCTCAGACTTTGCCATCCAAGGAGGATGAAGGGAAAAGAGTGAAAGAGAGCAGAGGGAATATGTGAAGGAGCAATTGAAACCACCGTGCCTGGGATCCGGGCTGGGTGAATAGGATGGTGCTACTTGGGGGACTTGGGTGGAAGGCTGCTGGGGTCATGGTCAGGGTAGAGATTGCAATACGAGAAGGAGTGTGCTAGAGACATCTTTGGGGATGGATGGGGATGTGGAAGGAGCTGCTTCTGCTTCAGCAGAAGGGCTGAAATGGACATTGGGGAGGGGTGCCATTGTTGGTAATGACAAGGTCTAAGCTGCAACCATGGGAGAGTGGCTGACATAGGGCAGAAGAAAGGCATTTGGGAGAGAAGCTATAGTAACAAGAGGCCAAAGAGTCCTGGAAGGGTCATCTGTGTGGATATTGAAACCAGAAGGGCTCAGGAAAGGAGAAGTATCAATAAGAAAGGGTGAAACAGAGGCACCTGGGTAGCTCAGTCGGTTAAGCATCTGGCTCTTGATTTCTGCTCAGGTCATGATCTCCTTGTTCGTGAGATCAAGGCCCACATCGGGCTCTGTGCTGACAGAGATCTGAGCCTTCTTGGGATTCTCTTTCTTCCCTCTCTCTCTGCTCCTCCCCTGCTCATGCACATGTGCTCTCCTCTGACTTTCTCAAAATAAATAAATAAACATTAAAAAAAGTAACCATAGTCCATACCTGGATGGCTGCACTATGGAGTATAGAAAGAAAGAAAGAAGTAAGGAAGGGAGGGAGGGAGGGAGGGAGGAAGGAAAGAAAAAGAAAGAAAGAAAGAAAGAAAGAAAGAAAGAAAGATGTTAAAAAAAATTATAATCTCTCATGTCTCCCAACCTTGGGGCTTATGTTGTCTATATAAAGTGGCACTAGGTTTTTACATCCTGAGAGATCTTTTAAATATAAAGGTATTTGAATATCTTCAGCATCCATCTCAGATTCTTAGCACTGGGGACGTGGTGGGCACTCAGTGAATATTAGCCGGTTGATTCATTTTGATTTAGGAGAATACTAAAAACAGGTGACAAGCAGTCATTGGCATAGAGACCAGAGGATGTGCCCAGTGCCCAGGGGTGTGCTCCCATGAAGGAGTTTAGCCTACAAGTCGGCTCTGTGCGTGAATTGGGAACCCTCAACGGAGCACTTACCAGGCCATCCCCCCAGGAGCACTCACTGTCCCCTGCTCCTGATGAGCAGACACCAGTAATGAAGCCCTGGGATGCATCTAGCCCCTCCCAGGCTTTCCAGTCTGGACTGTCAACAAGTCTTTTCTCTTAATGTGTCTTTGAGCTCAGGGAACTCATGGACCCTTTCAGAAGTTTCTAGAGGGGCAGCTGCTCTATTTCCCATCCTCTGGATGGGTGTCACAGTCACCTTTGCTGGTCTTCAGGCCTGGGACAAGATCGGATCCCTCCAATGCCCTCGCCCCCACCCCAGTGTTCAGATCAGAGTGACAAAGCCAGCAGATGACCGCGGTGGGGCCCCAGAAATTCTAACTTGAACAGTTGCCCTGATAGCAGCAGGGAATCCTCTGGCATTCAGAAAGAGTTTCATTTGGGATCTCTGTCTTCCAAATGGCCTGTTAATGGGTTTATACATCTCCTCTCCTTTTGTCAGGAGAAACACGTCTTAGAGTGAATGAATGGACAGAGCCAAATGACGTTTTGCTACCGATCAATTGTCTGGCTTTTTATGTCCAAAGTTAGAGCCCCATCTGTGGTCCAAGTGCTCATTTCCTAGCAGCTCTGAGATGGTGTCCTCTGAACTGTGCCAGAACTACCCTGCATCCCAGCAGGTAGAACCAGGGCCAGCTGCTTTGGGATCAGAAAAAATACTGTCATCGAATCAGGCCAAATTAGTATATCATGCCTGGTGATGCTGTGATTAGTGTAGTGTATCATGCCTGGTGATGGCTATGGAGAAATTTACACTTCTACCATCTACGAAGAAATAACTGGTGAGAACATGCGAAGGGTAGGATTACTGACAGTGAGCTAAAGCTACTCAAGAAAGCAGCCACTTGGGTTGCTCAGTTAGTTGAGCATCTGACTTCAGCTCAGGTCATGATCTCATAGTTTGTGAGTTCGAGCCGGGCAGCAAGCTTTCTGCTGTCAGCGTAGAGCCCACTTTAAATTTTCTGTCCCCTTTTCTCTGCTCCTCCCTTGCTCATGCTGTCTCTCTCTCTCTCTTTCTCTCTCTCTCTCTCTCTCTCAAAAATGAAAAGGAAACAAGAAAGCAGCTCTTGGGGTCAGCTCTTTGGGGGAGGTTAGTTCCCTTAGCATGCCAGGGATCTCATTTCAAATGTTTCTTATCAAAAAGTAAAGCAGGTCCTGGAGGGTCTGCTCTGCAGCTCCCGGTGCTTCCTTTGGCTGCACACTGTCCTGCTTCCCACCCCTTTATCTGGGGTGGTTTCTCCTGTTACAGTTGGAATAAGGGCCCTGCTCCTTTTCACCATCTCTGTCTCTTCAGCAGCTTTGCCACCGAATTTCCAAAGAAGAGGCCCCACTTCAAACACAGAGGGTCTTTTCCGTTGCTAGTACTTAGCAAGACAAACATTGGTTTGTTGCTGAAGCAGCAACCGATTAGGGAGCATATGTTTCCGTGGAGTTTGACGGCTGGGAAGCGAGGCCAAATTGAGAAACCAGTTGGAAAACCTCAGCCCAGATGTTTTCAATAAGCTTGTTGTTCTCCACAATGTGTCTGCGGCGCTCTGGTTCAAGCCTGGACCAGCCATCCGTCACAGCGAACGCGGTTCGGAAGGCCCCCCGGAGTCAGGGACTGGCCCCGTGTCCTCTCTGACCTTGAAGAACCTCAGATTCTCCTCAGTTTTCTTGTCTCTACAATGGGAGTGTTTTTATCTGTGTTTTCCTTTCATTGTGAAAACAATGGGATTCCCTGTTTTTCTGATTTACTGGAAGGAGGAAGGGAAGGGGGGCTGGACACCTACTGAGCACATACATTATCTCATCAAATCTCCATGGTGACCTGTTTGTTGGGGATTCTTGTTTTCACTTTAGAAATGGGAAACAGGTTTGGTTAAGTAGTTGGCCAAGTTATGTGGTGCCCAAGCCCAAGGCAGAGAGATTGAGCCCAGGTTATCTGGCTGCATTATACTATAGAGCCCTGCCTGAAGCCATGAGGGAAAGGAGACATTTGATTTTGTTTCCTTTCATTTTGTAGTGGTACTTATGAAAATCACTATTTGAAAACCCTTTAGCACTTAAAAAAATCTTATTTTTGTGATAAAATACTCATCAAAATATGCCGTCTGCTCCACTTTTAAGGGTACAATTCAGTAGTGTTAGTACCTTCATATGGTTGTACGACCAACCTCCGGAATGCTTTTTATCTTGCAGTACTGAAACTCAGTCCCCATTCAACAACCACTCCTCATGCTCCCCTCTCCCAGCCCATGGCAACCTCCATTCTACTGTCTGTCTTTATGAACTTGACCTTAAGTACCTCATCTAAGTGGAATCATCTAGTTTCTATCATTTTGTGACTGGCTTATTTCACTTAGCATAATGTCCTGAAGGTCCATCCGTGTTGCCAAGCCTGTGTTAGAATTTCCTTCCTTTTTAATGCTGAGTAATAGTCCAGCGGAAGTATCCACCACAGTTTGTCCATATGGACACTTGAGTTGCTCCCAGCTTCTGACTATTGTGAATAATGCTGTATTGCACGTGAGTGTGCAAATATCTCTTGGACACCCTGCTTTCAGCTCTTTTGGGTATAATCCCTGAAGTGGGGATTGCTGGATTGCGTGGTAATCCCATTTTTATTTTTTAAATATTTATTTATTGAAGTATAGCCAACACACAGTGTTCCATTAGTTTTGGGTGTACAACATGGGAATTGGAAAAATGTCTACATTATGCTGTGCTCACCAGGAGTGTAGTTACTGCCACCTGTCGCCATGTAGTGCTATTACAATACCATTGACTATATTCCCTATTGTGCCTTTCATCTCATGACTTTTTCATTCTATAACTGGAAGCCTGTACCTCCCATTTTTAATTTCTTAAGAAACCGCCATACTGTTTTCCATAGTGATGCACCGTTTTACATTTTTCCCAACTGCTAGGGAAACAAGGGTCCCAGCTTCTCCACCGCTTTGCCAACATGTGTTATTTTCTGTCCTTTTGGTAGTAGCCATTCTAATGGGTCTGAGGTGAGGTTTCGTTGTGACAAACCCTCTAGTACTTTGCATGCTGAATTCTCTACTTAGTGCAAAGCAGGTAGAGACACGGAGCTGAGCAGAATTCCACAGGGCCCCTCAGGCGGATTGTTCGACTGCAGCCCAGCCCTGCCTTCACCTGACTTCTGGAACATGAGGTGGCGGCTCTATGGGTTAGTCTGGTGGAGCTGTCTTGGAGTCATTGGCTAGGAAACATCAGAAAGTGAGAAGAGCATTCACTGGACCAGGTTCTAGGTTTGGGGAGTGGCCTTGCAGAATGAGCCACCCTCTCTGAGCCAAAGCTCTATGTCTGAGAAGTGGGAATAACAATGTCTTGAGGCACCAAGAGTCAGGGGAGGTGATGTGTATGAAAATGCCAGAAAAACTCCACAGCCTCAGTTGTAGGATAGCTTACATTTTCCCCAAAGGGTCGGAAGTCAGCCTCTGCTGCAGATGGAACGTGAGTCTGGCTTGTGCCATAGTCAGTATAACTAAAACCACCATCATCATCATTGTTACCAAGCTTGAATAACTACGGGCCAGTGATAAACTAGGCATGTGCCATGTATTATCTCTAATCTGTACACATAGCCCTGCGGTTGAAGTATCTAACGAGAGGGGATTTGACCAAGGTCATATAGCTGAGTGGCTCTGCCAGCATTAATCCAGCTTAGTATCCAACATCTCTGCCCTTTCTACTATATCACGCGACTTCTGGGCTCAGATCTGGTTTCTGTTCATTTCACATTCAGTCTACCACATCCCCAAATCATATCAGCTGCCTACTCCAGAAATGGAATCCAGATGGTCTAGAACCATACTCAATATATTAAACATACCAAAAATCGACGGATGGCCACAATAACTGCCAAAATTAGAGACAAATTCTCTTCCTGTGTATGACGTTGGTGCCCCCAAAGACTCAAACCTACTTTGACACAGTGCTTGGTCTCTCTCTTCTCTGCTTCCTTCAGGGCCCATCTGGTTGGATAATATCTACTGCACGGGCAAAGAGGCCACCCTCGCAGCCTGCTCCTCCAATGGCTGGGGTGTCACCGACTGCAAGCACACAGAAGACGTGGGCGTGGTATGCAGTGACAAAAGGATTCCTGGCTTTAAGTTTGACAATTCGTTGGTCAACCACATAGAGGCAAGTCTCATGCTCTTGATGACTCCCTCACACGAATACTTTCCTTCTTCCATGAAACTCCCTTCTTGCCTACTGATTCCAAGAAAAGCATGTGAGCACGGAAGAGGGCACCCAAGCCAACCTGGTTTGGTGCAGGGCAGTTGAGGGGAGGGTTTCTGGGGAAGAGGATATTGTCAGTGGTAAAAGGGTATTCCAGACACAAAGAATGACTTGGGTAAAGGCACTGAGGCACTGATGCGTGAACTGGAGATAAGTAGGTGAGTACTGCCCAAGAGTAGTGTGAAATGAAGCTACAAAGGGCATCATGAAAGCCTTCCTGTGCTCTGCCCAGGAGCTTGCCCTTTGGGCTGGGAAAATGTACTAGTTACCAATTGCCATGTAACAAATTACTCCCCAAATTTTGCAGCTTCAAACAACAGACCTTATTAGCTTACTTCGTTTCTGAGGGTCAGGAATCCAGGAGCAGCTTAGCTGGTTGACTCTGATCCAGATTCTCTCATGAAGTCATCAGGGGCTAGGGTGACCTCTCCCAAGCTGACTCAGGCAGCTGTTGGCCAGCTTTAGTTTCTTTCTGGCTGTCAGCTGTAGCCCTCTGGTCCTCTGTACACAGCCTCTCTATAGGCTTAAGACGTGGCGGTTGCCCTTTTCCAGAGCGAGGGATTGATTCAAAAGGGAAAGACAGAAAGAGAACAAAAAATGGAAGCTACAGCCTTCCATAACCTAATCTTGGGAGCAGTACACCATCATTTCTGCTATATTCTGTTGGTCACACAGACCAATGTACACCGTCTGGGAGAAAATTACCCAAGGGTGTGACTGCAGAAGGTGAAGACTATCAGGGGCCATCTTGGAGGTTGGCTACCAAAGAACCATTGTTTTCAAAACTAGCTGGAGGTCAGAATCCTTTTAAAATGCAGATACTGAGGCCTCACCCCAGACCCCCTGAATCAGAATCTCCCACTAGGGGAGGAGACTCGTTTTTAAAGCTCTCTCAGATTATTCTGTTGTAACTAGCCTGACCCTAGTCAGCATTTGGAAAAGGCAAAGGGCTTGTGACCCTTCTACGCTTACGGCTAAATTTCAGAGTTAGCTTTTCAATAAGTTCTCCACCCAAACACCAAAATCAATAAATGTTTATGGCACTGTCTGTATGTACAAGGTGTGTGGGGCTTAGGACAGGCCGAGTGAGCGGCCTTCTCAGGGACGTGGTGGAGGTCACCCGCAGAGCACTATGGGATCTGTCATGAACCCGGGCCCAGGATCCTTCACTGTGTTTTAGCCTCCAGCTGACCCCAGAACCAGCGCTGAAGAAAGGCAACTTGAAATTGCCCTATTTGGGCTCCGGAGGAAGTTCTACCCAGACTGTGGTCTTTACATTTTCCTCTCATGAGTCATCCCATTCTTCTCTTTTGTCATATGTTCCTAGAGCACACTGAGTATGCTGGGAATGGCAAGAGGATTTCCAGCTTTCTCTCAGCTGGCAGGATCAGACCACTTCTAGCTGACCCTCTTCACTTGCTGCTGTTTTATCTGGGGGGAAAGTAGAAGCGATTGTTGAGAAGTAGACGTGCTTTAGTGTTCCAGTTATTGATGGCAAATTTGCTTTACCGTAAAGTCTATGATATGGAGGATGGGCTTGTCCAGCCTAATTTCACACTTTCTCTCTCCACTCCTTATAACCTCATACAGAAAAATTAACATGCACTTATGTCTATCTCATCTTTCTAATGTATCCTGGAGGGTAAGGGATATAGCTAATTCACCATTGTATCCAGTAGAAATAGTGTCAGGAACCTGATGGGAACAGTGTCTCCAACCCCCCAATTTTCTTCTTCCTAGGAATGCATACTGAGATTGTGATACCCCAAAGTGAAGAATCTCCCAGGATAAAATATCAAAGTAATAATAAGCACATAGAAGCAAACCATTCCTTCATAGCATCTTAATAGATGCTTAATAGAAATATGAGCTTATTGATAAGCTTTATTTTTATTTTGTTAACATTTATTCATTTTTGAGAAGTATGAGCTTAATAGAAATATGAGCTTATTTATAACATCTTTATTTTATTTATCACATCTATACTTTACTTTTATTTTTTTAACATTTATTCATTTTTAATAGAGAAAGATAGAGCATGAGTAGGGGAGGGGCAGAGAGAGAGGGAGACAGAGAATCTGAAGCAGGCTCCAGGCTCTGAGCTGTCAGCATAGAGCCCGATGCGGGGCTCGAACCCAGGAGCCATGAGATCATGACCTGAGCCAGTCAGACACTTAACCGACTGAGCCACCCAGGTGCCCCTATAACATCTTTAATGGGCTTCTGTTTAGCCTAGAACCTCAGAATAATACATTTGGATTGCCAAATGAAGATCAAGTCATTGATGGCTTGAATAAAAAGAAGGTTAGCCAAAGTGTCAGTAGATTTTAGGTTGGGGAATGAAAAGACTCATCTGCCATTAGAAAAGAATGATTCTGGAAAAAGTTTATGTGAGTGGCATTTCAACAGAGAGGTGTCTGTTGAAACTGCCTCACAGAGCAAGCAGAAACTTGACTGGGTAGAATAGGCAGAGAAGTGTCCCCTAAAATATATTAGGGAGTACTTTGTTTATTCTGGAAGAGCGAAGAGTCCATCAGAAAAGCTTAGTACCTACCTTTATTCTGGACATCCGTTGGGTGCCTGGTGCACACACAGCATGGTCTGCGATACCATTAGGGAAAGAAAACATGGCCCTTGTCCTCCTGCCCTTACAACCTGAGAAGATGAGATGCATACCTTTAAAAAGCTGGAGGATCATTTCGAGGCAAGGAACCTAGATCCTAAATAAGTTCACCGTAACCTAGAGAGGACTACCTGGGGGGGACGACTTCCACAGCATCCACATCTGCCGTCTTCCTAGAAGGCCTCCCTCTTGCTGTCGTACAATCAGGCTGGTTACCATGAGCCAGACTGGGAGCTTTCTTGTCCAGCCACAGACACCAAGGAGACTTTCACCTGATGAGCAGTCCCCTGTAACCTCTTCCTTTTGATACCAGCCTAACTTAGGACATGAAAGGGCCCACGTCTCAAGATATCTGAGAAGAACCTCTGAGAGTTGCCACTCCATCTAAGACTTTGGAGCTAGAGTTCATGTTTACTGTCAGAGCTGGCCTGATGGGTAGGGAGCCACCCAGACCACCTACAGGGGATATTTGTGGGATGCTGAGAAGTTTCTCCAAAATACCTCATGTAATAGCCTATGTCAGTAGCTGAAGTCATGGAATCATTCCTCTTGGCTAAAGAAATGTCCCCTATGAAACATCTGTGGATGAAAGGAAGAGATGTAGGCTGGTGGACATGCAGTTAGGTGAGGTCACAGTGTGATGACTAACGGTGCCCGTGAACACGGTGGATGGTTTCTAACAGTATTCCCTGGGGCCTACCTCCTGCCTCTCCTACAGCAGAAATTTGCATGGAGATTAAAATGCACGCTGATAAAAGGTACAGGGGACACAAAACTAGGAGGGACTGCTGGAATGTGACATGATTGAATGAGATTCAGTGAAACCTCAGTAAGTTGAGATAAAAGGCTCAAACTGTAATATACTCGGGATGAAAATGAGATCCTATATCAAGGTTCATGGGAAAAAATCCTCCACAGAGTGAAAGCCAAGGGGGGGGGGATGACTGAAAAGCATTGATTATATCTTTAAAATCCCTGAAGGGGATTGGCCGACCAAAAGCTCAGTCTAAGCCAAAGCATGATATGCTGGTAAAAAAAGCTGGTAAAAAAAGAAAAGAAAAAAGTAAATGTACACTGATGCACTGATGGAATTCTTCCCTCAAACTCTGTTGTTTTGGATCAAGAACTGAGTGCAGGGTTCAGTTCTGGGGGCATCCCTTAGCCAGGTCACCCAGAGGACAGACCAGCAGGATGTAGGCAGGTCTGGAAACTGTATCATATGAGGAAGTGAAGAGACTATGTCAAGAAAAGAGAGGAGGGGGGACCTGTAGGCTATCTTTAAATATTTGAAATGTTACCATGGAGAAGATGTTTGATTTCTTCTAACCCAGAACCAAGATGGATGAGAAGGTAATGGATGGCTGTAGATTTCAGCTCAGGGTGAAAGCTATAACCTGTAAGGCTACTACACCCACAGTGGATGGGGCTACCCTATTAGTAGCAAGCTCCTGTCACTAGAATCATTCAGCAGGAATGGAATGACCTCCTGCCAGGAATGTTGCAGCCAGATTCCTACATTGGGAAGGAAGCAGGATGAGGTGATTGCCAAGTTCTAAGATCCCTTGTTAACTCTGCATTTATGAAAATACGCCCAGGGGCGCCTGGGTGGCTCAGCTGGTTGGGAGTCTGACTTTGGCTCAGGTCACGATATCACAGTTCATGGGTTCGAGCCCCGTGTCGGGCTTTCTGCTGACAGTTAGCACAGAGCCTGGAATCTGTTTCAGATTCTGTGTTCCCTCTCGCTCTGACCGTCCCCTGCTCATGCTGTCTCTCTCTCTCTCTCAGAAATAAATAAAACATTTTAAAAAATTAAAAAAAGAAAATACACCCAACCCATGCTGGGGGTGCCCACAGCTAGCTGTTGGCAGTGGACACCATTGTGTGCATTGGCATGTCTCTCTCTCTCTCTCTCTCTCTCATACACACACACACACACACACACACACACACACACACACACACACAGAAGGGATGCTGGCTGGTGTATGTGCTATGTGCTCCGGCTCTCTCCCTGCCTCTTCTCTGGTCCTCCACAAGCTTGACCTTGAAAGCAAGAGCAGATTTTCTGCCCTCAGTCTTCCACATTAAAGTGTGAGTGCCTAAGGCCCTCCCTTGACTTCCCCAGTTTGGGGTCCATAAATTCAAACGTGGCCAAGAGTAGAGTGTGGTCATTGTGATATGTCTGTTAAAGCTTTGTCTACGTCTTATGACCCCCGGTGTAAATGACTGGCCTAATGAACCCAATGAGGACACCTTTCCCCCTTCCCACTTCATCTCC